ACTGCAACTGTAAAAGAATGATTCAATATGCAAACAATACTGACTAGTACAATAATTTATAAAAACATTTCTTCTTCTTCGCAAAAACAAAAAAAAATAAGAAACCGAAAGGAAGAAAAAACACCATGACGATGCATTAAAAAACAGCAACAACAACAGCAACATCACTAACATTGAAGAATATATAAATGTTAGGGGGAAAAAACACAGTATGGACAAACTGATGATAAGGATAGATACAGGAGAGATAGTGAGATATTGTATTGAGAGTGAGAATGAGTGTAGTAAGGGTTATTCTCATAGTAGTTAATAATGGATCAATTTTTAAAGGCCGACCACCTACTTACACTCACATGTACGCACGCATATACACGTGAAGACCAATCAATCACCAAATGAAATGCATTAATTACACAAATCCCTATAGTTTAAGTACAAGGTTAATTCATAACAAAGACAGTGGTGAAGATGTGAACGGGAGAGAGAGACAGAGAGTAACCAGTATATATAAGAGAATGAAGAGTTTTCTATTCACATTAAGATCGATAAATAAATAGATCGTAGGGCAGAAAGGGGGGGGAAGAGAGGGGGTTAAAACAAGTATCCAGTATATAATAGATGTTAGTGTAGAATGAAGGGAAAATAAATGAGCATTGGCATTTCAACTGTTGTAGAGGAAACAGAAGCAGCAGCAGTAGCAATAAAAATGGCAAAAAAGAAGCAATGATGAGTGGAGTGAATGATAATGACGCTGGTGGTGATGACGATGAGTTCGTGTGTTATGTATGAATGATGACAAAAAACAAACAAACCAGCAAGCAAGCAAACAAACAAACAAACTTTATATCTCATTTTTAGAAAAATAATCATATTGAACACACATAAACAAAACAAAACAAAAAAAGGAAAGACTGAAAGATGTTTTTAATCGAAAGAAGAAAAAAAGGTTAATATTAACTGTGAAAATTGTTTAACAGGTGAGTGAGTTTCAGTTACTGATTGTCGTCATTCAGTTGGAGAAATGGTAGTAGTAGTAGTAGTAACAGCAATGGAGCAGGTTATACGATGAATGCAGAACAGACAAACAAACAAACAGATGTGAAACAAATAAATAAATAAATAAGTGAAGAAAACAAACAAAAACAGTTGATCAACTAACAGAATGAAAGAAATTAAACAGAGAACAAAACAGAAAAAACATGAACACCCTCCGTTAAATAAAAGATATATTACAAAGAGGTAGCTCCACCTGAATGTGCTTAATGCAAACATTTGCATACTGTATATGCTTTTATATAGAGATAGATAGATGCGATGAACAACACAGATAAAGGCTGCTTCTTTTTCAATCACTAAAGTGATGATGTAATGTCAATACACGGTGTAATGAGTATACCGCCTCTCACTGAGGAAAATGTAAACAGAACTTCCAGTAGAGGAGAGCACAGAGAGAGAATAGTTAATTGAGTGTATAATATAAAATAAGAATGATGATTCGATATGAAAACGGCAATAGAATGAAGAAAAAAGAACAGATGGAACACTTGAAGGAAGCCCAATTATAATGCAATAAAACAGGTACACAAACAAACACACGGAGAGAGAGAGATTGAGAGATATCCATTTATCTATCTACCTCTGTAGTATTTTTTTTTCAAAGATGTAATCGTATCCGTGTGTGATGAGTAGAGAACAACCAAGGTGACTTGAGTCTAAAAACAAGATCAAACAATTAGTAATTTTTAACAGGCAGAACTTTACAGCATAACTAAACACCTACATGATGCACAAACAGATAGACACACATACACACACGCACAGAAAGAGAAATATCTGTAAAATGGAGACAGAAAATTACCAACACAAGAAACAGATGGGATAGATAGGATAGATAGATAAATAGATGAGAGGCATACACAGGCAGATAATGAACAGAAATGAAGATGAACTACCATTATTATTATTATTATTCAAGCAGTAATATATTCTGTCCATTGACCGGTTTTTTGTAGACGTTTAATTTTTGCACGTATGCCTATTGGAGTACGCGTAGATTCTAAGAAATTGTTCATAATACGAAGTCTAACTTCTTTTAGCATTGGACAACTACCTTTGGTGAAATAATCTTGAAATAGCTGAAGAGAAAGAAAAAGGAATGGTGAAAATAATAATAATAATAATAGTAAGAATGATAGTGTAATAGTAGTAATATTGATTGAGATGAATAATTTGCGAATTATTAGTGTTAACAACAACAACAACGACAACAACAACTACAGAAAACAAAGATGTTACACCAACACAGTTTACAGACTAAGTCCCAAAAATAATGGGGACTGTATTAGCAGTAAAAAAAAGAAAAACAAACAACTCATCTACTTCTGCTGGATGACAAATCGATGCATCACTCTTTATTTTAGGCATCATGTTAACAATAATGAAAATTTATGTGTTAGGCAGAGTTGATGGAGTTAACAAGCATGGAGGGAATTAAAAAATACTCTCTCTCCCACCCTGTCTTCCCTTCTCTCATGTACACCCATTGTCTTTTAAACAAAACATTTACTGACATTTGTTACCAATTCTTTTATGTATGTCTGTACAGTACAGCCACCAAGCGAGAAGTATCAAACATAAATGTACAAAAGTTAATAAAATAGGCTATATATATATATATATTCACCGTCTACTTTAATTGCATCATGTTAGCTGAATAGGCGAAAGAAAAGAATCAATTTAACCGCAGATTAAACACAGTAAGAAATAGACACCAAAACTACAAATACTTGATATAAGCCTGAGTCATATACAGAGACGCAGCATCAGCAACAAAATTCGGATTTTCAATACAAACGTCAAGTCAGTCAGTTCTTCTATACGGATCAGAAACTTGGTCAGCGGGTCACAAAGAATATTTCCAACAGCCTGTTGCAGACCTTTATCAACAACTGTCTTCGTTCCATACTCAAGATCAGATGGCTCGAAAGAATCACCAACAAGAAACTATGGGAACAAACAAAACAAGAACCAATCGCTCAACAAATATGCAGGAGAAAGTGGAGATGGATTGGACACTCGCTGAGGAGGCCGCTGGGTGACATTGCGCGTCAGGCCATAGCTCGAGTGGAACCCGAAAGGGAAGCGGCGAGTGGGACGTCCAAGGGTGACATGGAGGAGATCGTGTGAAGAAGAGTTGAAACAGTATGGAACAACATGGATGCAGGTGAAAAGTACAGCAGAAGACAGAAGCAAGTGGAGACGTGCAGTTGAAGCCCTATGTTCCACTAGGAACCCAAGGGAACAATAATAATAATAATCATCGCATGAATTGTTGATCAATTCAAGGCTTACACTGATATGGTTATATACTTTGTCTTTTTGTCTACATCTCAACACAACTAATCTACCATACTATAATTCTGTTTTACTCTTGTTTATCTGTTTAACTTTGTTTTTTCTTATCAATTTCGCTTCTCCATAGTCAGATATTAAACTTGATAAGTTCAACTGACAATTGGTAGTAATAGTTTCGATATTGGTGAGTGATGTCAGCAATTTGTTTTACCCTCGATTATTGAGACAGATAACTTAACTCTTACAACGAAACTATAGTATTATTTAAACATAAAGATGTTTATCGATTAATAGGAGAACAGCGTATATATGTTATTGTTTTTTTTCAATAACTCTGTATAACTAAAAATTCACATCCAATTCGTCTGGATTTTGAAGAGTAGAACGTTAACCAATTGCCAAAAAAAACGAAAATCTCTTCTATTATTATTATCATCGAGTAGTTGTGAGCATTTTGATCAGAATAGCAATGCTGTGAGTAAATCTTACCATCAGCAATGCTATCGATCAGATCAGCATAGATCAATGTGATATGAAATAAAATACTTTTTGTCATGCAAATTAGACATTTAAAAAAAAACGAAGAAGAAGAAGAATTAACAGTTTCATTTTGACAAAAACCCTCTTGAAAAATACTCAGACAAAATTTGCAACATTTATAGTTTGGATATTTACAAAAATAAACACGGTGGTTTATGACAGTTATGCTGAGAAATAAATGTGATTCGGAAGTCTAAACACGCCTGCCTAACAACCATTGCACTGTGAATTATATGTGACTCTGAACAAGGATTATCAAACATGAGTGAATAGTACATCCTCAACTACCATAGATAAACACGTGGTTGATCTCAGCCGGTGGGTACCGGGTCTGAATTACACTCTACCTACTTCCCAGTGGAGGCGACTAAGGTGGACCTTACACTCTGAATGCGGATCATAGCCCCGTGTACATGCAATCATTTTTTTTTCAATTCAGTTGAGTACAGTTAAAAGTCAATCTATATCAGGAATTATGAGGAAAGTCAGGATAGTCATCGAGACTTAAACTAGCACCGAAGTTAACGATTTCTGTATGGTAAACTGAATTATTTGTCTTAGTAAAAAAATGTTTGCGAATCAAGTTGTTGACGCAACGGTAGTTTTTTTGCTAATCATCCAATTCGAGTATTTTTTTCAGTAGAGATTTCAGTGTAAGCCTAAAAATCCTTTTCAGTATTATTTTGCTTGAAACAGTAAGAGAATCCTAACTCTCACTACTTTAGAGTGAGTGATTACGGCAACCGCTACAAATAACCGTGTCACAATTACATTGAATTCTTCAGTAAGTATACTGATAATTAATGATAGTCCCTATTCGAGTGAATGCAGACAGATAACTTTCATTTGACTGTGAACATTTCATCATTACAAAATTTCTTTATGAAGTAAGGTCGTGTGTAATATGAATAATGAAGCGTTCACATAATTGAATATCACAGCTTGCAAAAAACACCAAAAAACAGTTATTATCCTGTATATTATTAATTAGAAATAAAATCAATTTCTAAGCGAACAGTTATTATGCCTGTTATTCAAACAGATAAGAATTGCATACAGGAAATATACGGGGAAAAGAACACCCTTGCATTATTAATGAACTCACTTCAGATATCTGAAGGCTGATAACAAAGTTGAAGGGGTGTGAAGGGGGGGGGAGGAGGGGAGATTTTTAACACATGAATTGAATACATTCTTTTTGTTTACAAAAACAGAAAAATTCAAAAGGTAAGTGTGAAACAACCAACTAATTGCAAGTTTCCCTTTCTTAAATAAAATCCATGAATTCCAGTTGTTGAATTTCTTCAGGAACAAACATTAGTTAGAGATCATTGAAAACCAGGGGGCACTGGATAGCTGTTTCATCCTAGTTCGGAGCTCAGTGCACAGAGTTAGAATTCACGGATCATTGGATTCTATTCCAAGTGGCTAAATGGTCAATGAACTTGGCCTTGTAACCTGAGTGTCTCGGTTTCGATCCCTGGTGGGATGGGGGTGAGCACTGATGAAGAGTCCCAAACTAGGACGAAACATATAACCAATGCTTTCCTGCTTTTCAATAGTCTCTAAGTGATGTTAGTTTTTAATAGGCTAATTTAGCTTAACTTCACAGATTTTATGGTATTGAGGCATATCACGTGATAATTATTCATAAACAAACAACCTTGTATTTGACAACTGAAGAATTAATCTTAAATTCCTATGAAATACTTTTACGATGCTCAACTATCTCTTTTTGGTTCACCTAGCAAGACAATATACATATCACCCATATACTACTCTCATTTATTAGTAGTATCTTAATGCAACAAAGAAAAAATATGCATCCGTATTTTTTTTCAAACAAGGTTTTCCACTAAAGCAAGTTTTCTTTTTTGATATGATGATAACAGTAATGAAATGAAGTCAACGGCAATAGAACTTGATCAGATGAAAACTATATACCGACCACTAATCCTAATAAGATGTTCATTATCAAGGAGAAATGGGAAAAAAAGGAAGAAGTGAAAAGAGCTATTTACTCGGCAAGTTAAATTCGGCGCCTTTTTATCTTTACTTTCTTATAGTTTCTCTTCTTTACACAACTGGAAAAATAAGAATCAATACCTTTATGATAGAATGAATAATAGGTCGAAGTAAAAAGTTATAAAAAGTAACTCTAGGCAAAGAAATAATTAAAGTTGGCGAAAATATTGATTTGTAAAGTAAACGGAAGTAGAATAAGTAAAACAAAAAGTGGTGATGTTCGTTTTATGACAGGAGTTTATCAGAAATAAAACAAGTTTATCAGAAATAAAAGGGAAATAATTACTAATGTTAATTAATACTAATGATTGTGACACGCACACAACACACACACATCAATTATTACACGTATCGACTGTTGCATCACAAGACAGTAATGTAGGTGATTCAAATCAGTGTGAAACTGAAAATGATGAGTTAATTGTTCAAATTAATGTGGCGAAATGAAAAACGAATCAGTCAGAGGAATCGTTAAATTCAGATCTAAAACTAAAGGCTTCATACAGGTATGGTAGTTATACTATCTAACTTTTGAATCAAATACAATTGGAGATAATGAATTTCACCTGAGGGATTAAAGCTTCTCAAATGAATATTGTTCAACGGTGAGTGTACAATGTCAAGAATGTATAAAGCATCTCCAGTCGATTCTAAGCTACACTGGTTGTAGTCTTCAACCAAAAGTTTTGATTTTTAAACAGACCTTAGCTAAACAACCTGCCATCCCTTACATAATCAATGTTCACAAACTTCACGGAATAATACCATGGGTTTTTTCTGGTCACTATTTACTTCCTTCTAACCTAATTTCAAATCAGCTAATATTGTACATTGAGGTAAGCAGTGAATATATAAGTGCGAAATATGTGTGAATTTATATTAGTAACTGGCTAACACCTCTGCCTGACTACTCCATTAAAACATAGACAAAGTTATGAAAGGAAAAGTAGAAGAATACCAGTAGCTGAAATCGCCTACTTATGACTTTATCATACAAACATATGGTAAGACAGAAAATACTGTTGAGCAGTATACTTTTACTATTGATAGTTAAACGAATATCCTCTTCACATGATGATTAGCATTAATTGTAAACAAAAGCAGAACAAACTACTTGATAATGTGAATCTGTCAATTATGAATTTGTGGCAGAAACTATGATTCAGGAAAATCGATTTTTCATAAGTTTAAAAATAAAATAAATTTATGAAATTAACTCTTAAGTACCCTATAAAAAGCACACTCAGAAACAAGATATCCTACTAAATTTACTTTTTTGCATAAACAAACATGATTAACAGACACCTTAGAGATTACACGAGATAAGCCAGAATCTAGGAATAAAAAAACAACTTATCGAGTTGGCAATTTCTTGAAGAAGATTTGGATATCTCGGCTAAGTGATGTGAATATGTTTTAGCGCATAAAAGACAGAGAAATATCAGGTTAAATTACAAATCAATTAGTTTCAGGAATACTAATAGAGAATCAAATGTATAAATAAACAGTTAAGAAAAAGAATCGTAACAAAAGTGGTTCCCTAGCTTAGCGAATAACCATTTACTGTTTGGAAAGACGGGTGTTAGTGACAGTAGGAACACCAACACTCAATAGGTTGTGTAAGTACACCCAGGTGGTTTGTTTAAGTTAATGGTGGTTCGTAATCACTATCCAATTTAGAAATGGCGGCTAGGTACCGGTGTGGTGAGAGATGGCTGCTAGCCAAATAGGTAAACAGTAATTGACGTCAATGTTTATGTCTCAAATATTAGTCATGTGAAAACAAGATCAAAGACGGACAGCAGACTTTGAGTAGGCGGATACAATTAGCAGATAGATGATCTGACACTCAAGAGACAGCAACAAAGAGATGAAAGATTAACTTTTAGTGAGAAACAACCAATCAGAAAACTGTGTTTGTCAGCTAACAATAATCTATAATAATGTACACGAAAATCAATAAATATGTGTTGATTTCCATAATAAACAGTCTGTTGCCTGAGTCTTGCCTTTTGTCGTGACACCGGGATTTCGGTGCGAAGGTATATATTGGTGATCTGTTCAGAGAAGCCTCTGAAAGACAACTAGAACATATATTTCGAGAAAACGGGAGACTATGTAATGTGTGGGTGGCTAGAAATCTTCCTGGATTTGCATTTGTTGAATTTAAAGATGCTGCAGACGCAAGTGATACTGTACGCGAGATCGATGGAACAGTTATGTGTAACATCCATGCGAGAGTTGAACTAAGCACTAGGAAGTCATGAAAGAAGCCCTGAGTAGGTGGTGGGGGTGCGCACAATGGCGGAGGCCGTGACAATGTATTTAGTCCTCGAAGATTGAAACTTTTCGATCCTGGCGAACGCGGACATTATGCCTAAGACTGTCGTCTCTGAAGTGGCGAACCAGGAAGTCAAAAAGGTAGGGGAAGGCCTGATGGCCGAGGTCCATGTTGGATCATAGAAGTTCTTCACGAAGCCGGAGTCGTTAATACAGCTGAAGTCTGTCTCAGCCCTATGATGTATTTCTTTTTGAACTCTCGAAATATTCCCAAATAGGATGAAATGCACGTCCACGATGCTGTTGTTAGCCACTACTAGCTATGTATCAGTGTTGAATTAATGAGAAATAAGTATCTAGATTGCATAAACGTAACCATCTATACAACTTAACTCTTAACATATGACGTTTACAGTGAATCGATAGTTGATACTGAATACAGGTTTTATACAGATTAGTGTTTATCATGATAATATCCTTCTCTCTGAGATTCAAACGTTTGTTTCAAGGCTAAAAAGTCACAGTTGACGGCGTATAGATACTGATTGTTCGTTTATCATGAGTGATTAGCCAATGATACTATTGGAATACAGAATGGTAAATAATAAATTAGAAAGTGTATTTTTTCACTAGTTGAACTATAATCTTTCCATCAAATTATTTTAACAATATTCCTTAGATAACAAACAATAACAATTAATAGAAAAAGAATGATTTAATTCAATTAAATGATGCACAAAAACACAAACATTTTACTGATAGTATCGAAGAGAAGGATACACTATGTTTATGATACAGAAAAGTTTAGTAAACTGAAAGTCAAACCCCTATCGATCAAAATCTAGAAGGCATGACATGAAAGCAAAACCTAAGACACTGATCGACTTGCTGATGATAAGCAGAAATCAGTAAGTGATGTGCTATTGTTGCTCTTCAATAACTTATTGATTTTTTTTATAAACTAATCTATCTCTACATGCATAAACAAAATCGGTAAGATGTTAAACGTAGTAATAATGTGTGTGTACTTTTGTGCTAGAGATATTGCTATACAACAATAAAAAGAGTTTGACAATGTTGCTAATTCTCAAGTAGATTAAACATTAAGCAATTCTTCATTGTGTCAGACAACCAAACGCCAACATAAACTACGAAGAAAAGAGTTGGGTAGTGAAAATTCTGTCACAAGTAACTCCAGTCATCATCAGTTCCAGTGAAGACAAATAAAATTGACTAATCTAAGTAACACATAACTTGTAAATAGGCATCTAGGATTTCACTGTCACTAATAGATAATAATGAGACTATATGAAATAGCCTTGCAATGGACCGACTAATGTTGATCTAATGGGTGATGGCTGAACATGGAATGAAAACCCTGATCATGAGGTAATTCGAATCAGTGACCTACAGTTAGTCCTAGATGAATGCACTGTTTTAGATCATAGCGTATCAATCATATCACTATTAGTCTACCAATTCGAGGCTATGTCTGATAATTTCACAAAGAATTAACAATCAACTCTACTCTTTTTAATTCAGGCTGATTTGAACTGACAAAAGAAGACATGATCGAGAAGCTGGTGTGATGTTAAACGGAAGTGGTGCGATAGCTGAGAGTAACACATAGTGATTGAAGGGAAGTGGCCATCTAGTTAGGAGCTGGGTTCTATAGTTCATTCTGAGGTTGTTGGTTCACACCCTGTAGCAACTGACGCTTTTATTTCACCTACTGTAGTAACAATATTTTAAAAAAATTCATCAACCAGAGCAGTAAGCTACCTGATAGTTCAATACAATGGATTAAGCAACAATAAAAAAAGAATCTACATTAAACTAACTAACTAACTAACTGACATGGGAAATATCATCGACAAACACCACGATATGTAAGATTACTTGACTTTCACGGGCCAATTTACAGTAGATTTAAAGTGAATTGAGTCAATCAAGCTTTAAAAGATTATAAATAAATTTAAGAATACCCACCTAGTCCATGGAATTATTGCCTAACTGAATCATTTCTATAAAAAACTCTGCGGATCTAATTTTTTTCAAGTTAATAAAATACAATAAAGTGACAACACTGTATAACTTGTATTATATGAAATAAACAAATCACAGTACTCGTGTTCTACTTTTATATTAAACAGAATAAATGAGGATAACCAGTGTACACCACACACTGATTGATCTGATTAGTTGAAGACTATTCAAACCAGATAACTAATTATCCTCACTGGTCAATCAGAGTTTTGTAATAGCTCTTCTACTTTGAATTTTCACGCTACCTACGATCTAAGGTCAGTTAGCATAACATTGTGATCTCAGCACTCTTCGTCTCTACGAGAAACAATGGTAAGATAAGCAGTCATAGTTTGAATAATAATTGGAGAAACTAATTATTGGGAAAATGAAGATGATTAGAAGTCAGCCGCATCCACCATTATTGCCATTGTTAGATATAATGAGGAGTTAAATATTTCAAACCTGTTTAGTCTTATTCTAAAAGAGTCTTATTTTCTTCTACACAGAATGTCATCATTATCAGCAGAACTGTGGCGTATGCTACTGACAAGAATCTATAAGTAGTATATCGCGCGCGTGTGTGTGTAACGTGCAAGAATCTTGAATAGCTGAGTGATGGATTAAGTTGTGAAGAGAGAAAAAAAATGAAAATGATAATTGGAAAACTACTATATAGAAAGTATAACCAGAAAAAAAAGCAGAATACAAATAACTTTGGCTGGCTAATTGAAGTTTCTTCAATGTTACATTTTTGTATGTATCTTGCCACTACTACAACACATAATTTTGCCAAATAAATAATTCTGCTAGTGAATACCACTGCTGTGTGTTCTGTTGTCACAATTGGTATCGCTAACAGAAGTAATGCAGCTTTTTTGTCAATTTACCTCTGTCCAGCTGATATAAGATGTATGTGTCTATGTATGTATGCATATTTGACTTACAAATAAAGAATAGTTTGATATTTAAGGTAATTTCTATTTATTTATTCAATATGGTGGATTGGTCTCTTTAATGGAAATGTTAAAATGGTAGTTAGCGAAAAGTGAAGCCCTGTGATCCTTTCTTTATCGTTGCTTGCCTTTCGAGTGGAACACAGAGCTTCAAGTGTGCTTTTTTTATGTTTCAGTAGTATTTATGTTGTTTTCACGGGATAGGGTTTGCTAGCCTCACGACCAACCTTCCACCTTTTCCGTGCTTACTACCACCGCCTAGGCGAGATTTAAGAGTATTTCGACTGGGAATCATATTAGAAACGCGTGCGTGGTTGGCATACACCTTAACAGTGATTCACCGACACTAAGTCTTTGGGCCACCCAATGTTTCCAACTACATTTTTAAAGTGTGTGTTCGATTCTTCTGTTTATGTAAAAGCATTTTTAAAGGCGTCGGCAACAACTTAGGTTACATGAAGAAAGTGGTGAGTTCTGTGACAGAGGTTCACATTCATTACCAGTTAAAAGATCTCTTCACCTATCCTATTCTGGTCAGCCACCAGGCAGTCTCATCAGCCCTTACACAACAGGTGTGATCCATCGTTTAGTGTAGGGAGGTGGTGAACATGATAATTGATTTGAATTATTTACATTATGATTTTATGCAGATTTTTCAGAAATACTACAATTAAATGCTCATAGGGAGTATCCATCATTACTCTACAATACAGTGACTTCAAAGTTACTTTCGTAATAATGAACTTTTAGTCATTATATGAAAACTTCCAGATTCATACTATTTGTAAAAAGAAACTAGAGACACTGTGTCCCAACAATCCTTTACAAGCTTCCCAGTTAAATATTTACTTACCTTTTCCTGGATATGCAAACCTTTTAAAAACATTTCACTTAGTCAGTATTTTATTACAGCATAATTTAACTTAAGTCAAGTACGTATGATCTTTCCACTGAGTTATAAACACTGTCGCTGTAATACATATCTGAGGAACTGATATTTTAGCAAACTCATTTTAGTGCAGTGGTGTTACGGTTGTAATTTAAACAAAAGTCAGAGTTGTAGTGAGCTCCACATTACCAGGCATAATCACTACTAACACCACAATTACACTTTCCATAGTCGAGTCTCCGCCATTAAATTAATTTATTCGGTAGTGTAATTATGAAACTACTACTCCTCTTTCTTAAAATCTACATGTCAGTGTCCAACGTTATAATACATTGGCTAATGCTTTGCATGTGTCAGTTCTCAAGCATCATAACCGATTATATTTCTAGAGATAATCATTATTATTCTCTAAGCTGATATTGAAACACTCCTTAATCGAAAATCTAGCCCAAATAACACTATAGAAAGAAGGCTATGTGTAAATAGTGTTAAATTTAGTGGATAAATGGGAAACTGTATAACGTATAGATAATTGACAGGTCAGACTAATATACTTAGTCTTAAAGAAAGTCATACTGTCTGTGCAACCTAAACCTAACTCATCTACAGTTCACTGGTAACATGTCTGACTACGACGTCAGACACCATAGGTTCAAATTTTTTTAAGAAACTAAGTTCTGTAGGAATTTCAGAAATACCTTGTTGACGAAATACAACAAACAGAAAACTAGAGTCGATGAAGACTTAACGCTGACAACACCCAACCACCACCAGTTTATGCATAAAACAAAATTCCACCCTTATGTCGAATCACTCAACCTTATGGTTTCATTGTAAACACACGTTTACAGCAGAATTCAGTTTGGATGTCAAATTAGAAGACAATATGACATTGGTTACCAACAATAGTCAAGGAACAACCACCCATATTTCAGTCATAACTCATCCCTCACCAGTTTATTACAGAGAATTAAATCTAGGTAATGCTTGATTGTTCAGCGATAAACCATGAGTATTTGATACAGTTGAATAAAACACTATCAGAGTACGACTGTCGACAAGATGATTACCAGTCAAACTATATAACCTAAACATCATATCAGAAATATTAATCGGTGTAAAAACTGAAATATCTGAAGACAAAAAATTAACTAGCAGAAATTATGTACTAATACTATTTTTCTCACTTACTTTAACTATCATCTGAATTTCTGTGTCACTAAACAATCGGCCATTTGATTTCACGGAACCTCCGGTTTGATTTTGTTGAGTATTGTTCGAATTATTATTATGATTATTGTTATTATTATTATTTTGGTAGTCATTATTGGTTTCACATTCAACTCTATGCCTAGATGAATAATTCCCTTCATTTGGATCACTTTCTATACAATAAGGTAAATGATGAGGCTGATTATGATTCGATATTCCAATTTCTTGATTTGACTGATAATTTTTCATAGGTGTAAGTAAATTTCGATGAGAGTTCATAGAATTACCACTGGAAACATTTGGAAATTGGGAACCAACTAGACCTAATGAAGTATTCATATTCGAAGTACTCCCATGTTGAGCAGATGAAGATAGTTGAGAGGGCAGTGCAGGAGGTGGTTGAACACCATGTGTACCAGTTGATACACCACGATGATTTAATCCCAATGAAGTGGTGGTGGTGGTTTGTGTAGGATTCGATGAATGATTATTTCGTTTATCGAAATATTTCATATTTTGACCAGTGGAATTTCCTTCTCTGTGTACATTATCAACAATAGTATTGTTACTACAGTCTAAAATGTCATTATGTAAAGCTGGATCCAATGAATCTGTGAAATGTGAGAAATAAAGTATACATCAGAAAAGAAGCGAATTTATTCTATCAATCCCTTGAATAAATTCTTTATCATCCAATTGGAAAAGTGAACAACAACATTTAACAACCTATATGCCTCTGGCGCCGTAGAAGCAAATGAAAGCTTTCCCATACAGAAGTTCGTCCTACAATCACGTGTCTTCAGGTTAAAAAAGAGAACATCAGTCGTTTCTATTATTATTAGCGATGCTTGTTAAGTTTACAATACTAACGGATTAGAAGAAGAGACTGTCGCTCCAGTTGTCTGGAGGACTATAAAATCTAAACTACTAAAAGAAATAATCATTTCTGTGATGAAGAAAATACTGTGCATGAAAGATAAGTCCGTTCCAACTCACTTACTTTTGTGGAAACAATTACATGAGTTGTTCGATGCGTATATTATTCATTCCTAACTGGTCGGAGAATCAGTGGCTTTATCAAAACTGAAATTACATACTTCTATCATATAGAAAGTCTACTGTCTTTGAGCTACTGGCCTACCACTGCTCTTTCAAAAGTAACCCAAACATTACTCAATATATGTATCAACTCAAGACATGCTAAAAATAACTAATGAGTATTCAACATCCTATTGGTATGTCTGAGTCATCACTTCACAATGTACACTTACGCTATCCTGTCAGAAAGCATTTTAAAAATTGTAAATGGACACTGTAAGCATAATCCTTTCAGAAATTAAAAGCACAAACGAAAATAGTTCCGATTAACAGTCGACATAATGTAGAGCGCATGGAGTCTACGAGAACAATCAATGCCCAGATCAATACGGTATCATAAAATCCCTGCAGTTCTGAAACTGTTGTAATTTAGAGGCCCAACTGTTTCGAGTTTCAACAGTAGTAATTGTAGTATGCACTAGTTGTTTGAAAAGATCAAATGTGATGCAGAAACATTTTTGTTAAAAGCAACTTAGAGCTTTCAAAAGAAAGTTTTATGACGGCTATAAATAAGAGTACGTAATGATACGTCATCCTAAGTACACTTCCTTTTTCTACACCTGAAACAACAAAACAAGAAAGCACTGATCGTAAGATTGTGTACCTCTAAACTCATGCCTCCGCAACACTGATAAATTTTCTGTCTTCCAATTAGTCTGTCATACAAGCAGAACTGGAAAACTATCTTTTCCAGTTGAAACGACTGTCCATTGGATGACAGTCTAGGGGAGATGGCTAAACCCTGATTCCAAACCTCCAACGACTGGCGCATGAAGCTCACTGGAGCTCACCGGCAGACGTATGGACAAAGGGCTTGTTGGATGTCCTGAATGTCTGGCCTCATTCAAAAAGGCGTATGAACCGAACTCCGGTCACCGGCTGCCAATGGATAGTGGACTCCCTACTCCACTCCTACTGCCTTGTAGGTCACACTCGGTTGTGTAAAGGCTAGAGCTGCACTCTCAAACAAAAGGCCAAGCGATTCTGGGGACATCACTCGTACCAAATTCCCATGAAACTTCATGAACTCTCTTCATCAGATCGCCGCGCCTGGGCAGCGATGATTCGAGATGCTCATGAAGCCGGCTCATCCTCCCGTAGGAGATAGCCGAAGTAAGGTAAAGTAAGTCACAAACAAACACAATATGGAAACTTTGAATGTAATTTTCTGATTCGGTTTTTGCAAACACCTAAGTGTCATTTCTACAGCTAATCAACTCAATCTTATGGAGTGATCGTAGTGTTTGAAGGCAGACTCATATACATGTGCACACACACAAACACAACAAAATATATTAGTTTAGGCTTATAATGTACTAAGATTAAAAGCCAACCTAAGAATGTTATTTAACGAAATCAGTTGTCACGACTGAGCACAAAAATATCTAAAACAAAAATCACAAAATTTGTGTTGAGAAAATAAAAGTGTGCAACACTAGAGTTTCAAGTTAAGTTGACGATTAAATGTTCAGTATTTGGATTATCTTCAACAGATACCTAGTTGGTATGACCAATACTTGAAAGGTACGACAATTATTTGATAAGATCATCCCTCCGGTAGCTATGTTTCCTGTACACTTTAAACTGCGTATATAAATTTGAGTGTGTTTGTGGAAGCAAATACATAGGTCCTACAGAAATGCGATTGTCTACTCGCATGATAGAACATTTGCTACGGTGGTTGAAAACAACTGAAGTCAAAGTGTCTAAAAGTTCAATAACAAAGCATTTTGTGGACTACGGACATGATATTGACACTGTCTACTCATTCACTCTTGTCACCAGACAAACAAACAGGAAGATGCTTGCAACTGAAGAGGCTTGACCAATCAGTTTACAAACCAGGTAGGTGTCTTTGTGTACGAAAGGAAATGGTGGTCACTGTGAATCCACCATGGTAATATGTTCTACTTATTAACTGTTATTAACATTATTATTGTTAATAATACTTTATTCTGCCTGTTATTATTACTATTTTTGATTCGTATAAAACTATCCTTTATCATTACTATTATCTTAACCCGTCTAAACATTATTATTATTGTTAGTATTATTATCAATATTATTTAGTTCGGAATTCTTGATATATTAAGGGTCTTCCACTCACTGGTAACTAGTTGTTTATTGAAGTGATTTAATTGGATCGTAATGCATTTTATCTTAATTTTATATCCCTGTATGTAGAGTATCCAGCTGAAGAGTAGTTCTGCCGAAATTTGATAAATTCATTATATCCTGCTTTAGTAATTTTTGTTTCTTTTTTTATAAACTTTAACGTTGAATTCAGTATGGGGATGATAAGTGAATATGAAAAGTGGGGCTAAGTTAGAAGCAAGCTATGCAGCTGAATGCTTTGAATAGCACCGCATTTCATCACCCGCATCCCTAAAGAAAGAGTAAGACTTTCAGATAGATTGAACTCTGTAGCAGTTCAAGTTGCCACAATTCATGTAACCCGTAAAAGTAGACCACTGCTAATTCTTTTCCAACGTAATTCTATGTCGGCTAATGTTATCTGTCGAGGAAGGAAATGGCTTGGGATGAGCAACATATGTCCTAGCCATCTCAGTCGATTCATTTTCACAACTTCACCGATTAACTTACCCTAGTTACCTAACACTCTACGCCTAACCTCAATATTGTTCACCATATATTACCGCTTAACATTTGAGGTAGAAGGTAAACATCTTTATTCAAAAGACAGTTAACCTTTCACTTCTTCCACTTTCAATGGTCATTTCTCACTCACAGAAATAAAGGAGGACGAGACGAACTGGTGCGCAGTACAAACGTTCTTTGATTGACAGCTGGATATGACTCCTACGCCAAAGATGACATGAGTTGGTAAATAGCACACAAGCTTTTCGTATCCATGCTGAGATCTTGTAAGCAATCAGACTATTAAGGTTGGTGCAACTTCCAAAATAAGGGTTGTCAACAGGATCAATCGCCTCTCTAAACTAGGGGTCTGTGCACACAAATGCTGCATCATCATCTTACATTTAACAGGAGCGAATCACATGCCAAATATCCAAAGATTTCTGCTCATGATGTTCAGAAGACTCTGAATTTTATCAGTGTCTTTACCGAAGATAATATCATCCGAAAACTCTTAATCAATAAGACTGTACCCTGGTAATAAGTTAATCTGTGAGTCGTTCAAGTCGGTTAGAGTTAACTCCACTAAACAAAAATGGGGATAGTGGGCATCTCTGACGGATACTACTGGTTGTCAACTCTTCAGATGACAACTTGTCATAAGCTTTTACACGGGTGCGTGAATTCAAGTAGAGTATCTTAATTAGTGTATTGTACTTTCTCGTCACTCCCTTCACGACCAAACATTACTATAGCACCTCTCGGTCTACAGAGTCGAACGCCACCTTCAGGTCAAGAAATATGTCAAGTGTTGGACGCCGTTAAACATATCCATATTCCAGAATGTATCGAAGGGCGAAGATATGGTCAGTACACTCTCTTCCTGACCTACGGCTTACCTGGTTTTCCCGAGTCAAGGTTACCCCCCCCTGTGATTATCACAGGATGATTTGGTTTTCCTTCTATGAACTTGGATAATCAGTGACTTACACCAGTTCAACGGAACTATCTGCGATTCACAGACATTACCTGATACCTTTGTTAACCCAGACAACAGTTTACCACCATCGTGCTTAAATACTTTTGAAATCATCCCATCAATTCCTGCTGCTTTGCTTCATTTCAGATTGGAGACAGTCTTTGTAATCTCAGTTTCAGATGGAGGACCGATGTCTACATCCCATTGATGTAGGTGTTGGATGCTGGGCAAGTTGACCGTGGCTATAGACCAGTTAAACTGCTCCTCGAAATCTTCCCTCCAATGTCCCAGTCGTTTATCATGAAAAAAAATTGAGGAGCCGTTTTTCAGAGATTACCTTTCACAAAATATTTCCCTAATAAGCCTTGCCTTAACCAGTGTGGATGAAGCAGCACTTACTAACCTTTCGTTTTACGTTATATATATATATATATATATATATATATATATATATATGTATATCTTCTTTTAATAATTTCTTACCTGCATGTTCATATACACTTGGATCTTCTATTTCAGAAAAACACTGATGTGGATTTTTGACAGGGATTATTTTATCGTGCGATACTTGTATCCATGATGGTAAATCAGATGGAATACTGTTAATCCAACGTTGAACATTCATCATACGTTCCTAAGTGGAGAAACAATAAAACAAAGGTGAATACTTTTTGCTTATGAGACCTAAAAGTTCACAGTTTTCTATCCCATACGAGATTATCATGACAAACTGTTAAGAACTCCCTGATTGAGTGAAGGAGTAGAATTCTTTTTTAAAAAATCGTTAGTTTAATCAAAAGTAAGCCTTGAATTATACTAATAGAAATAGACATCCACGATAAAGTTTAAACATGGTCGAGAAGTCAGATGAAGTTAGACAGCGTATAATAACTCATTTGATTCTTATAATGATCGCTATAAAATGCTGCATTACAGGTTTTTAATGGTAATCTTCTTCTATGATAAGGACTATATACTATATAACTTCGATCACTGGAAAGTACTTTATCAAACAACCTTCGCTATAACCCCAAACATCCGAATAGCTTGTCACTAATAAAGGAGAAATTAAGACTAGTGTGGTGAGAGCTGTCTACTAGCCAAATTGGTAGACAGTAATTTACGTCAATATTTACGTTCCCAAGATTTGTCGTGAGAAAATGTGAACAAAGATTGATTCAAAACCGACCACAGCAGACTTTGCGTAGGCGGATGCACTTAACATATAGAGGATTTGACATTCAAGAAACAGTCACAAATAGATGAAAGATTAACTTTACGTTAGAAACAACCAATCGGAAGACTGTGTTTGTTTGCTTAAATAACCATAGTAATGTACATGAAAATATATAAATATGCGTTGATTTCCTAAATAAATGATCTGTTGCCTGGCCCTTGTCTTCTGTTGTTACACTAGTACACCGCAATATTATCTCAGTGACGATGAAAAGGCATACCGAATCGCTACACATAATGTACAGCGATCATGCAGGAAATTCCTTTAGTGTTCAGACCATCAAAGTGACTATTTAGATAACCAATAAGATTGCCTACACTTGTCAAACATCTTTAGATACATTAAGGTATCACTTCCTTTGAAATTAAGAAAGTACCTCAGTTGATTTTTCTTTTCATGTTAATCTCCAACTTAAGTGTCAACATTTAAATGCTAACTAAAGATAATTGATTAAATAACCAGTATGATTACTAAACTACATGTACAAAACAAGATACTGTCATAAGGTGCCATCTGCCAAATGACTGTCAACATAAATAGACATGTTTTAACCCTTTCTAACTCAGGTATCCTATATAAAGCACAAACATTGCAAATTATTACTTAATAATAAATAATAATCTAAAAATATGGATATACAAAGGACAAATAATTAACTAATTACTTGTTTAATTTCTTTTATTGTTATTGTCGATGTAAGCGTTGCAATGTTTACAAATCAAAGACAAATGGACGCACACGCATACACACACATACAAACAAGCAAATACAGATATCAGCAAAAGTGGATTAGAGAATATATAAAAATAATAGAAACCAATGCGTCGATACCTTAAAATATATAGTGAATCAAAACAAAATTATTGTCAAACTTTGTTTGAACAAGTAAAAATGTATATAAGACTATAAGGTGAAAATCTTATTCAATGGAGTTTGGAAAGCTCTGCTCTGTTGCGAGTAAATCGTTAAAGGCTCTTAAGGTAGTTAAACCTTAAAGGTGAGAGGAATGAGATAAAAGAAGGATGAAAAGTTTGAAGATGTGTTTTTCACCTTACAAGTAGATATTACTCCTTGATGAAAAATATGCTGCATGTGAAACTGTTGAGTCAGTCAGTGAATACCTTCAATCTATCCATGAAGTTAAAACAAGCTTGATGAGTTGATGTTTAACAAAATCTATGAAAGAATACTACAAAACTTTCGACAGCCATTCCTAAACTAAGTTATTGTTGTGGGGTGAGATAACAAGATCTTGGTTTCAGTTATAGGAAGTGTACTGAGCAGCAGTATCCACCGTCCTAATATGTCGTTGTGAAACACTGCTATTAAAGATAGTAGACATTTGAAAAGTTATTTATTAGATTAGGCTTACGTTGTTATAGTGTGAACCTCGCTCTAACTCCTAATGTTTTTGGAACCTAAAACAAGATAAGTCAGACAAAACAGGAGTTTGCCCCCAAGAGATGAAATCAGGAGTCACTGGTCAGACCAGTCTTCACTGATGCTTGTTCCAGGTTATAATGAAACGACCTTAGAAACTACAGTTATTCAAGTCTTAACTTCACTTATTTGGGAATTTGCATCAGCCAGCCCCAGCGGATTGATCGCTGACTCAATCTCAGCATGGGTACAGAAGGCTCAATTGGTATATGCCAAGTTACGCCATCTGTGAAGTAGACGTGATATTTGGCTGTCGACGGAAGGACGTGTATAGTCCTCAGAAGTTACCCCTATTCTCCTTTATGGCTGGCACACATTATCACTGAAAAGGGACTAACTGACTGAGTGGTTTCAAAATAGAACTTTGCACAAAGTTGCAGCAGGTCGAGTCGCCACACTTCACTGAGTACACAAAGCAAGAGAAAGTAAAAAGAAATGCAAAACAGAGACAGAAAAGAGATATGAGGCAAAAAGAATAGTAATATGGAAGAACAAAAGAGCTTTATTGCACATGACAAATCACAAATACTGAATGCATTTGCACCAACCATTGACAACGATTTTGAGCCATATCACCAATTGTCTCCAACCTTCATTGGTTCTTATCATCCCGAGGACCCCAACCAGGCAGCAGTCTACACTTCCCTACGTGGTTTAAACTAACTGTTATGGATTTCATTGACTGTTCCTTGTTTTGGTTTAATCACCACTACCTCTTTACCAAGCTGATCATATGTCAGCTAACATTACCTGTCGAGGGAGGCGATGGCTAGGGGATGCATACGTAACACATGTCGTAACCATCTCAATCGGTGTAACTTGACAACCTCGTCGATTGATTTCCCCGTCTTTACGTAGCATTCGACGCCTAACCTCAATATTACTCAGTCTATTATGCCACCTGACATGAGAGATAGAACGCAGGCATCTACTCTCAAAGATGGGTGGCTGTCAGGGATGCCCACTGTACCCACTTCTATTTAATTTTATAATAGATATACTAATGGAATTAACCCTAAATGCTGACTTCAGCGACTCAGGGATTGACTTGTTATCAGGGAATAATCTCGTTGACTTAGAATATACAGTGGTAGAATGCTCACCAACGACACATATGGTCCGGGGTTCAATCTCTGGCCACCGACGCACTTCTTTACCTCGCTAAGATAGTAATAAGACTGGTAAAGAGGGAAAGTTGGGCATGAGGCTAGCAACCCTATCCTGTAAATATAATCACCACTGCTACAGAAACTTCAAGCCTCCAGCTTGAAACCCTATGTTCCATTGGGAACGTAAAAGAATAATATGAAAAAAATTATATGATAAATACGCGTATGATCAGAATGTTTGAAAAATGTTACACATGTTAGATAAATGACGTCATAATATTACTTTGTCAAATGCTAAAATATTTTGTCTGACGTCATACATTTTAATAATTCTATTGGAGGAAAGAGTGATAACAGTTTTAGTAAGAATGTTAACAATCAAAAAGATATATCCAACTTATTAATCCTAGGTATGATGAAATGACCTCTTTTTACGCCATTATTCACTAACTGTTAACTGTATACAACCAAGAGCAACTTTCACATCAATCTACAAAATATTAACATACTTTGGTTATTGAGCATGAAGAATGTAGGCTATTAATATTACGTAATTCGATAGTATAATGGAAACGATGAGAGTTGTTATCAAGCCAGTTAGTTTATATATGTTCATATTTTTGACCTGACCGGTTTTATTTTTTGACCTCTGCTCAGCTAAATTATTCAACCTTTACACAACACGTGTAGTCAACTTTACACTTCTATTTACTTTGTAACTTCTGTCCTAAATTCTGGAATAATTTTGCAATTATTCCTATATGTACTGACAAGCTTAATAACAACTTTTAACCTTTCCATTATGCCATCGAGTTACGTAATTCCATCGTTATTATTTTACACCTTTACGTTTCAAGTAGAAAATAGGAAGGATTTTCAATAAAGCAGGAATTAGGGTGGCATTTAAACCTACAAAATCACTCAGAGACAAGCTCTGTAGGTTAAAGGACCCAGTTGATCCAATTAGACAAAATAATATAATTTACAAAATACCCTGCAATGACTGTGAGGTCAACTACATAGGTCAAACTAGTGGGTCAGGGGTAGTCAGATTGTCAGAACATAAGAATTTAGCTAAGGTAAGAATGGTTGACCCAGAGAAGATAAGTAATTTAGAAAAAAGCTCAGCACTATACTCCACTGCATGCAATAACACACAACCACACAATAGGGTGGGAGAGGGTTAAAATTCTAAAAAGTAATCTAGGTAGGTGGAGAGAGAGGTTGATTACTGAATCCTTGTTCATCGAATCTACACCCAACACATGCAATAGGAATGATTCATCACTCATACCCGAAATATGGAAAATATTACTACCAATCAAATCAAGTGAAAAACAACGGAACTATTTAAATGAATTTAGGAAGTCGTGTGATTACCTTGATATGATTATGAGCAATAAATTGTGCTCGAAACGTCATCAGTAAACAATACTGTATAACACTGTGAGACTTTATCAAAACAAAATTTACCCATAATGGAATTACACTCTACCACAGTGCACAAGTTTTATTCTTATATCAATGGAAAATAAGACTTCAACCTTGAGTTGTGAAATTTCATCATCAGTGGTGTTATTCTTTTTACGAGGGTGGGGTTGCCGGCCGGAGATAAAACTCCAGACCACGTGTGGCGTGGCTGGCGAGTGTTCTGCCACTGAACCACCGATGTAACGAGCTGCGTAATATTAATGGCCTACATCTTTATGCTCACTAACTATGGATGTTAAAATTGTTTTAGGCTGTATGATGTTGAAGAGAACCAACAATATATAAAATGACAGCATATTATCCTTCTTAGTTGGTTGTTCTCGTTCTGTTGAAGTTCAACGAAAGGGTTAAATAGTA